CAGAAGGGTTATGAGAAGAAAAGAGCCAAACTCATTCGAGCCTACCTGCCCCATGCACCAGGTACTACACACTAAACTAATTCCCCTTCATTAGATTAAACTGTGCAGTATAGAGGATGATTAGCTTAAGGTTTTGCAACTGTGATTTTGTCCTTTTGTACTTACAGTAGGAGCAGAGTCTCGAGTCCCTGTGACTCCTTCATCATCTTCATTCTCATCTCGTTACCAACGACGACGCTCCACTGGTTCACGGGATGAGCGATATTGCTCAGGTAAGCTGTACACTCTCAGAAAATAGGGTGCTAAACTTCCTAATCACTGAGGTGGTAGCTTTTATCTTTTGTACCTATAATTAGAGCTGCAACAACTAATCGATAATAATCGATTATGTTGTCAACGAATTTCATCATTGATTAGTTGGTCTGCGATTGGCACGGGGAGATTTACTCATTAAGTTACTTCTGTTCAGAAAACACTATGCATTGTGTACTCAACTTTTAGTGTGTGGATTTTAGAAAGCTAATATCTTCTCATATATAACACCAGCATTTTTTTTTTAAATAACTGGAATATAAGCCACTTCCTATTCGATGGCGCATGTCGTCATACACACGCTACCATTAGCAGACACCCGAGTCACAGACAATGACTTTTTTCAGTTTACTGTTTGTCAACGTTACCTTTTATTCCCAACATGACCTCAGTCGCCAACAGACAGACTGTCATCAAGTGACTGAGGAAGAAACTCCTCTAAGGCAGGAGAGCATTTTATATTAAACAGTGCTGCACGAGCACAAACTTATGTTTATATCCAAAATGCTTCACTGTGTGTAAGGGGCAGGGGAAACTGGTGCGAGCTACTTAAAAGGCTTAGTTTAATTTAAGTTTGTCATTATATGCTGTATTTGCATGCTTGCAGTGTAAATTCTGTTGATTATTGTAACGGAAGTGATGTTAGTAAGGAGGCCGTTTTGCTCCTCTCGTGCGGTGTAGACGCGCTGATACAGAGTGTAGCGCGAGTAAGCTCTGTATTGTCTAATTAAAACATTATGATCAAAAGTAAACACAATTAAAACAATGTCTTAAGGGAACGAGAAACAGAAACAAGGTGTAGTGAAAGTGAGTTTTTATTATAAATTTAGGACTGTAGTTTAATTCAGTGCTTTTTGTGCATCCATAAAAATAATGCAGAAATACTATAAAAGATTTTTATATGTGTGTGTATATATAGTTGATATTGTATATAAGTATTTATGCATTATTTTTATGGATGCACAAAAAGCATGGAATTAAACTAAACTACAGTCCTAAATTAATAATGTATATTCTGGTTTGTGTGTGTGTGTGTGTGTGTTGAGTTCTTTTCTGTTTTAGACAAACAGTTGTGTAAAGTTTTAGTCTGAAGTTTATATTTGTAACACTCGGTTTGTGGATTTTATTTGAAATAAACAAACAAAAAAAGGTACTGAAAGTTTGCCCCGCCCCATACAATTAATCGAAGAAAAAAAAATTGACCATCTAATCGATTATGAAAATTATCATTAGTTGCAGCCATACCTGTAATATGTATCTTTTACCTGAAATCATGGATTTAACGTACATTTTAAAAATGATATAAGGTACATAATTAGACCTTATAGAGTAAACATTTAAAGGTACGCTACATGCACTGTTCTATGTTAATGATACATAATAAAGGGGTTCTACCCCAGTAACCAGCAGTGGTACAGTTTAGTACTCGTGTTTGGTGCATTTGCAAACGTACACACACACAAGTCCATCACACCCATATGTGGTTCTTCCACAAACTGTTACCACAAAGTTGGAAGAACACAATTGTATAGGACGTCTTTGTATGCTGCAGTTTTACAATTTCCCTTCACTGGAACTAAGAGGCCCAAACCTGTTCCAGCATGACAATGCCATGTACACAGAGTGAGCTCCATGAATATGCAATTTACAAATGTCGGAGTGGAAGAATTTTAGTGACCTACACAGAGCCCTGAACTCAACCCCAATGAACACTTTTGGGATGAACTGGAATGCCGACTGCATCCCAGGCCTCTTCACCCGACATCAGTGACTGATCTCACAAATGCTCTGGCTGAATGAGTTAATCCCCACAGCCACTCTCCAAAATCTAGTCTAAAGCCTTGCCAGAAGAGTGGAGGTTATTATAACAGCAAAGCCTGACTATATCTGGAATGGGATGTTCAAAAACCACATATGGGTGTGATGATCAGGTGTACACAAGCTTTTGGCCATATAGTGTATCTATATACACAGGCACAATACTGCATTTTAATAATGTAGTTTTGCATTAATGCCTAATATTTATCGGTTTTTATTTTCTCTCTTTTAGATGTTCACTCTGAAGCAGTGCAGGCCGCATTGGAGCGTCAGTGTGAAAGAAAGATGGCCGTCCCCATGCCCTCTAAACGACACTCCCTTGTTGTCCAAACATCTATGGAGGCATACACACCCCCAGGTCACTATGATGTGGGTGTGTGCATGATTGTGTGTGTGTGTGCGTTATTACTTCCTATTCTAGCTGATAAACATCAGCCTTAAGAAAATCCCTTCTGCTCTTCTTGAAGACACAACAACAAACCAAAACTAACGTCGGTTGTCCCTCTGTTTATACCTGACACATAGAGAAAGACATGTATGCATGTACACAGTAACACAAACAAAAAGTCCTGACTGCCACAGGCCTGAGCCCCGTTCTTCGTGTGTGTGTATCAGTAAGTATACAGTAAGTGAGTACACCCCTCACGTTATTGTAAATATTTGATTATATCTTTTCATGTGACATCACTGAAGAAATGACACTTTGCTACAATGTAAAGTAGTGAGTGTACAGCTTGTGTAACAGTGTAAATTTGTTGCCCCCTCAAAATAACTCAACACACAGACATTAATGTCTAAACTGCTGGCAACCAAAGTGAGTACACCCCTAAGTGAAATAATGTGAGGGGTGTACTCTTTGGAATTTCATGGTTTTCTAAATTTGTCATTGACAATTGTGCCTAAAATAATAACAAAAAAAATTCTGATCTTTCATGTCTTTGTTGAACACACTCATTCAACATTCAAAATGGCAGTGGAAAAAGTAAGTGAACCCTTAGAATTAGTAACTGGTTGACCCCCCCCTTGGCAGCAATAACCTCAACCAGGCGCTTCCTGTAGCTGTGGATCAGACCTGCACATCGTTCAGGAGGAATTTTAGCCCATTCTTTCTGTCAGAACTGCTTTAGCTCGGTCATATTCTTTGGACGTTTCATGTGTATGGCCTTCTTCAAGTCATTCCACAGCATCTCTATTGGGTTGAGGTCTGTGCTCTGACTTGGCCACTCCAAAAGGTGGATTTTGTTTTTCTGAAGCCATTCTGTTGTGGATTTGCTCCGGTGTTTTGGGTCATTGTCCTGTTGCATCACTCAACTTCTACACAGTTTCAGCAGACGTACAGACATATATATATATATATGTGTGTGTGTGTGTGTATGTATATATATATATTTTTGTTTGTATTTTTTTTCTTCTTTTTGCAGTTTTCTGATATCTATGAGAGCAGAGAATTTTTGTGAATTTTTCCAGAAGGTTCAACAATAAAGATTAAAGCAATATAACAAAATAACAAGCAAGATTAAAACAATCAAAGCTTTTCCCCCGTCACTTATGAATGCCCGTGCGGCAGTGCACATTTCACTTCTGCATTTGAATTAGTGGCAGTTCGGGGCGGCATTGCTTGAAGGGTTGGTTCCTTATTATTCTTAATGAAAAACACAACTACAAAACAGTACAATGACAAACTCACTTATATTAAACATAGAACCTTTGAAACCAAATCTTCCACCATTGTCTTGTCAGTCAGCTCGCCTCACTCTCGTCACGTGATAAATAAAATCTGATCTGTGCTGCAGCTCGGCTCATGCTGAATTGAGCAGATGCATACAGTTTATAATTGTAGTGTCTAACTGAACTAATTGATTTTTATTACTATAAAAAAGCAAAACGACAGTGGGGCTGGTACTGCGGTGGACAAGTGATCAGTGTGCGGCTCAAAAATACTCTTCTCTCATGGATATCAAACAATTGTAAACAAAACAAATTTATTTTTTTTAATCCCAAAAAAAATCTTTAAGTATAGGTGTGCAAAATTATTGACACCCTTTTAGTCAATACTTTGTGCTAGCTCCCTTTGCCAAGATAACAGCTATGAGTCTTCTCCTTCTCTTCCGCCTGATGAGGTTGGAGAATACATGGCAAGGTATCTGATACCATTCCTCCATACAGAATCTCTCCAGATCCTTCAAATTTCACAGTCCACGCTGGTTGACTCTCCTCTTCAGTTCACCCCACAGGTTTTCTATGGGTTTCTAGTCAGGGGACTGGGATGGCCATGGCAGGTCCTTGATTTTGTGGTCAGTAAACCATTTATGTGTTGATTTTGGAGCATTGTCCGGCTGGAACCAACCACGGCCCATTTTAAGCTTTCTGGCAGTTTTCTTTTAAAATCTGTTGATATTTGTCCATGATGCCATGTATCCTAACAAAATGTCCAGGTCCTCTGGCAGAAAAACAGCCCCAAAACATTAAAGAGCCACCACAATTTTTAACCGTGGACATGAGGTACTTTTCCATATGACTACCTCTCTGTGTGTGCCAAAACCACCTCTGGTGTTTATTGCCAAAAAGCTCTATTACTTTTGCTTTCATCTGACCATAGAACCTGATCCCATTTGAAGGTCCAGTAGTGTCTGGCAAACTGAAGTTTGTTTTTTCGATGAGAGTATATACTTTTTTTCTTGAAGCCCTTCCAAACATCTTTGGTGATTTAGGTGAATGTATTATACTTTTGGCTTATTTATTCTGTGTGTTTGTGTTTGTGTGTGTGTGCGTGTGTGTGTGTGTGTGTGTGTGTGTGTGTGTGTGTGTGTGTGTGTGCGCAGTGGGGAAATAAGTATTGAACAACATTTTTTCCATTAAATCCTATGAGGGGCGCATGGTGGCTTAGTGGTTAGCACTTTTGCCTCACACCTCCAGGGTCCGGGGTTCGATTCCCGCCGGGGCCATGTGTGTGCGGAGTTTGCATGTTCTCCCCGTGCTGTGGGGGTTTCCTCTGGGTGCTCCGGTTTCCTCCCCCAGTCCAAAGACATGCATGGTAGGCTGATTGGCGTGTCTAAAGTGTTTGAAGTCCGTAGTGTATGAATGGGTGTGTGAGTGTGTATGTGATTGTGCCCTTCGATGGACTGGCACCCTGTCCAGGGTGTACCCCGCCTTGTGCTCGATGATTCCTGGGATTGGCTCCAGGTTCCCTGTGACCCTGAATAAGAAGTAAGCGGTAGAAGATTGATGGATGGATGGATGGATATTTCCTATGAGGTTATTCACATGAAATTTTCACCAGACATCAGAATTAACTCAAGAAATCCAGAAATATAAAGAATTCACAACATTAAAGACCATAAATAAAGTTGTGTCTAATAAAAAGGAATGACACAGGAAGAAAGTATTGAACAAGCTAAGGAAAAGCAATTCTCCAAGGTAAGGCAACGAACCAGCTGAAATCCATAAGTAATTATACCCCCTATCTGTCCAAATAAATTTCATGTGAATAGCCTCGTTGGAAATATATTTACTGAAAAATATGTTGATGTGTCCAATACTTATTTCCCCCACTGTGTGTGTATGTACGTATGTTCCCCCACTGTGTGTGTACTGGCTAGTTCACTGGTCTCTCTCTCACCCTGCTGCTAGATTCATCATCATGCTCTGAGGGTGAAGGGTCCCTAGGAAGAGCCAGAGGTGCAGGAGTGGAGGCCTGGATCAACCGAGCACTTCGTGGCTCATCCTCTTCAACCACATCTTCATCATCATCTCACAGCAATGGATCCGCTAACGCAGCACGTTTGGCAGAGGGTAATGTCCACACCTACAACTGTAAGTACACATGCACGCACACAGTCTCACATTTTTGCATAGTACCATGAGCATACATCCACAGACATTTCTGTCAGTGATTCTCTCAGGGTTAGCATTGGTAGTTGACTGTAGTTTAACTCGGTTATAAGAGTATTATAGATTGTTAGTAGCAGAGTACATATGATGTCAGGAATCAGAACATTTACACACAACAAACAAATACAACTGTACTCTTTTCTATGTAATCATACACGTGTGTACTCTTCTTTCTTTCTGCCTCCTCTCTTTCCCTCACCAAGTCGGCCAAGTTTCTCATCTGTCCCTCAAGAGGCGGGGCTTAAGGGAGATGGGTGTTTCATTAGAGAATGGTAACGTCGGTCAACGCTCTTATGATTACCAGTCCGAACGTCCTTGGTCATCGCTGGACTCAGAGGGTCAGTATGCCATGTCTCATTTAAATACACCTGAACCTATTTTTCTAAAAAAAAAAATACATAATTAATAAAACAAATAATTATTTTTTAAAAAATATAAATAAAAAAAAAAAAAAAACAAAAAACCCTTTTTTTTATTATATAAAAAAAAAAAAAAAAAAATTTTTGGGCTTGAACCTACTTCTAATTAAAAAAAAAAAATTAAATATTAAAAAAAAAATTTTTTTTTTTTAAAAATTTTTTAAAAAAAAAAAAAAAAAAAAAAAAAAAATTTTTTTTTTTATATTAAAAAAAAAAAAATAATTTTTTAAGCAATTTGGTTGACTAAACCTTCACAACCTATATTCGTTCTACTGTTTAAGTACTTTTCTGTTGAATGATGCATAAGCAGTAACAACAACCTTATACACTCTAGAATAGCTCGAATACACAAAGTCTAGATAGGATAAAAGTGTTTGTTATTGTATAGGTCTGAAATCTGTTGTGATGTTTTTGTCCTGTATACAGACAGTCATCCTGCACCTCCTGACATCACAAGCTGCATGTCAGACCCACCCCTCGTTACCATGGAGCGCCCACAGGTTGCCTTGCCAACCAAGCCTATGCCCAAATATGGTAATGCTGAGCTCATGGAGACAGGAGATGGTGAGTAAGGAATGAGTGTGTTTGTGTGCTGTAAAGCTGCCAAAGAACAGTTGCATGCATACTTGAATCATATAATTAATTATTATTATGGCATGTCAACTAATAGTGGTGCATCAGGAATCTTCACAGCTAAATCATATCCTTAACAAATTGAAGCTTTTGAAAGCACTGTTAGTTTACCACAAGTGTTAAATACAGTGCCTTGCGAAAGTATTCGGCCCCCTTGAACTTTTCAACCTTTTGCCACATTTCAGGCTTCAAACATAAAGATATAAAATTTTAATTTTTTGTGAAGAATCACCAACAAGTGGGACACAATTGTGAAGTGGAACAAAATCTATTGGATTTTTAAAACTTTTTTAGCAATGTTCTCTGTGCCTTTTTTCCGCAGAACACCAGTTTGATTTTAGTTTCTAGGTAGAATCTTTATCTATATTTACACTCTTTCTCCCTAACATTATGTAACCTTTATATATTAAAAAGTTTTGTATTTGTTTTGGATAGTTTTATATTTCTTTGCCTTTCACTTTCTAGCCTGTTGGTGTTTTGGATAGAAGAGGGATGTGTCAGAGGAATTAAAATCATGGGTGTTCAGAAGCTTTCAAATATAATAAATAATATACATTCATTGTCCACTTCAATAGGAACACCTGTGCCAATGATAGCCTCAGATTCATGCTCTTGGCTGACAGGAGTGGAAACAGATGTGGTCTTCTTCTTCTCTATCCTATCCACATCAAGGTTTTATAGTTTGTGCATGCTGAGATATTTTTGTGCTCACCATCGTTGTAAAGAGTTATTATATGAGTTACTTCCTGACAGCTCGAACCAATCTGGACATTTTCCTCTGACCTCTCCTATTAACAAGGCATTTCCAGATGCTCACTCAATGTTTGTTGTTTTTCATACCATTGTGTGTAAACACTAGAGACTGCTATGTGTGAAAATCACAGGAGATCATCAGATTCGGAAATATTCCAACCAGCCCATCTGACACCAATATCAGTGCCACAATTAAAGTCACAGAGGTCATACGTTTTCTCCATTCTGATGTTTGACGTGAACATTAACTGAAGCTCTTGACCTGTATCTGCATGATTTCATGCATTATGCTGCTGCCACATGATTGGCTGATTGCATAACTACATAAATGAACAGGTGTACAGGTGTTCCTATTAAAGTGGACAGCGACTATAAGTGAAAACAAGAGAAACAATAAGAGACAACTCTAAACCAATCGCTTAATCAGCCCATGCTTTGAGATTTGTATATAGGCTCTAATATGAGAGGATGTGGATGTTAATGTGCGAGTGTATATTTGTTTGAGTGTATGTAAATTTATATACATTTCTGTGTTTTAATTTGCTGTGTAGGCGTGCCTGTGAGTAGTCGTGTGTCCTCTAAGATTCAGCAGCTAGTAAACACTCTGAAGAAGCCCAAGAGACGTCCACTGAGGGAGTACTTCATTGACGACTTTGAAGAACTGTTGGAAGGTACAGTCACATTGACCAAATAATTGTGTATGATGGTTATGTTTGGAACAGTTCAGGTTGGTGTCACAGGGAGACATTCAATTGGGTTACTGTGGTCCCTCATAGTTTACCATTAAGTTGACCTTAAACTCCTAGATTTGTGGAAACAGAACATTAGCTGATATAATTTGCTGGCATAATGATTAGAAGGAAACAGCTCAAGGAGCCCTAAGGGACTCTAGCACAAGGGGGAAATCCCAGGCTGGGCTTCATGGTGGATAGAAGCACTATACCTCTCTCAGAAAGATTGCAATGCGTTTATGAGCCCCCGGAGAGATGCTAGCCATGGAGCTATGATGTGCTGCATGGACTCCACATACGCTTGATGCTGTTTACCAGTCCCTGAAGAAACGTTGGTAGTTTGGGATCAGGGAGTGCATCAGATTCGCAGACACAGGCAAAATCTTTTCTTTCCATTTGGAGCAGTTTATCTGCAGAGGGAGGAAGCCACCAGGGTTTCCTCCCTAAGTAAAAGTAGCCTTATTGGCACCACAAGCAGGGATTATCTGACTTAATCAGTGAATTCTGTGCAATGTTCAGTAGATGGTGGGGCCAGTTGAGGGTCATGTGTAGTAATGTGGCTGAGGATGTTGGAAGTGTCTACCAGTATTCTGATGCCTCTAGCCATTTTAGGAGATCGGGTTGTTTGCATAGATTTCAAAAACACCCATAGCCCTAGAGACAGGCCAAAGCATAGAACATTGACCTGGAGTGCTTGCCCTTGTAATGCAAATCTCAAAAAGCACTGGTATTCAGGGACAATGGGAACATGGAAATAAGCATTACATAGATCCACAGACTTTAACTAGACTTGTGATTTCATACAGAAGTTCACAAAGGCCATGCATAATTTATTTATTTTTTGTGTGTATGTGTGATTTCAAGATAAAAGTTGTTTTCATGACATCACAACTTATTTTTCTTGTAATCTCAAGCCTTGTAACTCAGGTTTGATCCTGACTGGGTGACTGTATGGTATTCGTGTATTTCTTTCCAGATTTCCCATATACCTAATTAACTATCTATCTAATTAACTAACTGCACATCCTGGTCCCTAACATTGACTAGCATTGATGTATAGTATGTATACCCAGTATAGCATTTTGACATTTTGAGAAAAATGCCAAATGACGTTTGTTATCTGAGATTACAAGAAATGAAAAGAAAAAATGCATGGCTTTTCTGGAGTTCCATGGTTTCAGGGCATACATTTGACAACTTCAACATATGGAAGGGGAGGGCTTTTCAGAAGAAGTTGAGAACCCTCAAGACTAGAATCAGATAGAAAATAATGTCTTTTAGAATGAAAAATTATGTTTGGTAGAACCCTTTGTTCTGAACAGTAGGGCCTACATTTTTAGCTGTCCCTTTTTTCCAAGAAGGAAAGAACATCTTGGGTCAGAGTGGCAATCTTTTCTTCTATTTATGAGGCACTGGGTCCCAAGAATGGAGCTTGTATTGTTGCAACACTGTCATTGAGACCCATTGATCTAATGAGCACTGCTTTTGTATGTAAGTCACCCTACCACCTGCCATTCA